CAGCGTAACCTTTTGGCTCTGTCAGATACAAAAAGAAAACAAAAACCCTCCCGTGCTCCTGCCCCTGGCCATTGATGCCTGGGTACCTCACACCCAGGCGTGGTGGTGCATGGCGATCACCCCAGCACTGGGGGAGGCTGAGGCAAGAGGATCTCAATTTCCAGTTCTGTCTGGACAATTTAGAGAAATAAAAAGGGGGAGGGGGTGCTGAGGTACCATGTAGTTCAGGGCTACCGGGCCCCTGGTTTGGATCCCCAGTCAAAACAAAACAACGAAAAAGCCCTCTTTTCTTTCTAACTCAGCCTGTGGCTCTGTACCATTAGCAACAGAAAACAGGCTAACACAGTGCTGCGGTGCTGTCTTCGCATGTCCACCGGGGTACTTCCCAGAAGCCGCTCGCAACCTGCTGAACTTCTCCCCGAGGAGACCACGGGGCTGAAGGCTTTTCCCGGCAGCTGTGAAGTCCCGGTCCCGGGCGCAGGCAGGCAGACACCCAGCATCTTGGGAACCCAGGCAGGGCCGCCGCAGAGGCAGAAAACCTACCGCGGGGCTGCACTGGCCCAGGTTTCAATCACTGATTTGTTTGCCTTATCATTCACCATTCCATTCTGGGAGGGTGGCCCTGGGGTAGGGCTGGATGTTGCCAGGGTAGAATTGCAGGTTTCACATAAAAGCATCTTCAGTATCAAAGGAGAACGCTTAACTAAACATGACACAACAAGACGTGAGCGTTGAAGTACATAAAAAAGGACAGATGGGGCAGCCGGGTGTGGCGTGGCAGAGGCTGAGGCAGGAGGGTCGCCACAAGTTCAAGACCATCCTGGGCTACGTAGTGAATTCAAGGCCAGCCTCAACTACACAGAGGAACCCTGTCTCAAAAAACCAAAGAAAGGAAGAGAATGGGCACCCTCCTCAGGAGACATGCCCTCTTGGGCCTTGATCCAGCCCGAAACCCACTAAAGATGGCGACACGATTCCCTACCCTCTTGCTAATGCGCATAGCCACGGCCCACCTTGGACCCTACGCTCATGGCTAGGGTGGGGTGTCCTGCACTGGGGGACCCCAGGATGTCCCCAGGGAGCCTGCAGCCTCTGGGGAGGAAGCTACTAGACCAAGAGAAGGGGCTTAACAGAGAGTCAGTCACATGCCGGGCCCCTGGTGGTTACTGCCCTTGCCCACCCCAGAAATCGCAGTCACCCCACAGTGGCCCGGCCAGCCTCTCACAGGTTGCCCGAAATGCCCGGGTCCGCCAGCCTTGGCTTCATGGGCTTCCACGTTGAGCTCCATCCCTGATCCATTTCTTTTCTTTTTCTTTTTCTTTTTTTGAGACGGGCTCTCCTTCTGGAGCCCAGGCTGGCTTCAAACTCCTGATGATCCTCCTGTGTCAGCCTCCCGAGCGCTGGGATCACAGGTGCGCTCCACCACACCCAGCTTCTGTTCTTTCTTTTTCTTTCTTTCTTTCTTTCTTTCTTTCTTTCTTTCTTTCTTTCTTTCTTTCTTTCTTTCTTTCTTTCTTTTCTTCTTTCATTCAATTTTGAGACAGGTGCTTGATATATCATTAAATTGCCCAGACTGGGTTTATTTTATTTATTTATTTATTTTTTGTCATCTTGAGACAGGGTCTCGCTCTGCAGTTCAGGCTGGCCTTGAGCTCACTTTGTAGCCCAGGCTGGTCTCCAACTTGCGATGGTCCTCCTGCCTCAGCCTTCTGAGTGCTGGGATTACAGGCATCTGCCACCACACCCAGCTAAAAAGCAACTTTAAACCAAGCAAATGCACTTTGGGGTTTGTCCTCTTCCTTTCCCTGGCTTTTTGGTCCTGGGTTTCAGGGCTTTCTTTTTGCAGCCCCCACCTGGGGATTGGCTGTGGGTGCAGGGGGTGTGTCTCGGTTAATTTTTTTTTTATTGCTGAGACAAAATACTTGGCACTCAAAATTAAGGAAGGAAAGGTTTATTTAGCTCACAGTTTGTAGACATTTCAGTCCATAATCAGCTGGCCCCAAGGCAGAGTAGCATGGCACAGGGCAACAGTTCAAGATGGAAAAAGACAGCAAAAGCAACAAGAGCAAAAGTGTTGCGGGGGAGGCTCTTTTCCTTCCTTATGTTGAAAGCCGGCCACCCTGCCCTAGGGGGTGTAGCACTCACACAATCACCATGCCCTCCTCTTGCACAGGATGAGGATGTTTACAAAGTAAGGAGGGGGCTCTCTGCTGAGTTGCTTAGTCAAACTTCCAAGCTTCTTAAATTGACACAGTGTATCAACCATAACAATCCACCCCTTGTCAACTTGGCAACCAGACACATTTTTTAAACGGTTTCCAGATACAAAGACATGCTTATTTTTAACATTTCACAATTTGGACATTGTAACACAGGTTTAACAATCCTTAAGAACAGTATTATCCATCAACATTATATTACATTAGAACCCTAATGTTCTTCCCCTGACCCCCCAAAGACTCATGCACATCCCTTTAGGTAAAAGGCATGTAGTCCTTCTCTAGGAATTGCCAAAGTCCTAACAGTTTCAGCATTGCTGAAAAGTCAAAGTCCCAAGTCTCCCCTAGATCCAAGGCAAATTCTTAGCTGTGAGCCCCTGTACAAATGAAGTTAAACACTTCCAACATTCAACGGCACAAAATAAACATTTTCATTCCAAAAAAATTACAAATAGGGGAATACAAAAGAATGGGGCCAAATCAAGTGTAAAATCCAGCAGGGCAAACATTAAATCCTGTAGTCCCATGTGCAGCATCTGAGGCAATCTGTGGCAATTTGTGAGCTCCAAAGGGCTTGCATGACCCCACCCTATGGCACTTCTGGTGGTTGTAGCTCCTACAGCTTCTCCCTTAGGCCTGCTCCACTCAATCCTTGCAGATGACCCATGTTCCTGGCTTTTCCAAACTTCTGGGGTTTCCACTGCACCTCTGGCTTCTCACTCACAGCTTCACACACTGCCCTCTCGGGGCACACTGCCTGGCCTCCTGGGCCTTCTGAAATTGAGGCAGAAACCTTTTTAACCCTGTAACGCTTGCATTCTGCATGTACCTAAAACTAGCGCCACATGGATAATGCCAAGGTCTGCTGCCAGCTGAAGCAGTAGCCGGGCTTTCTTCTCTCCTGGCTGTAGGGGTCAAGTGCCTGGATTGCTGGGCACTCTGAATCCAATTTTGAGGAACAAATTTCCTATGCTGCCGCCATTCCAGAACATGGTGCTCTGCTGCTTTCTCCTCAAAGCAAAGTCTTTTACCTTTGCAGGTTTGAGGCTGCAGAGGGTAGAATCTTGCTGCTTCTTGTGATGCCCTCAGGCCATCTTTTTAATTTTCCTGTTCCTTCTCAATAGTGGATCTCCCCAGCTCTATCTTGGCAGTCCACAGCTTTACCGGAGCTTTTTATCTGGCCAAAACGCACAACGTTTTAAATCATCCTGCTGGGCTCTTTGCTCTTGATTCTCAACGTAAGTCTGGCTAAAAGCACTCAATAATAGCCATGCCATCACCTCAACATTTAACTGACTTGAAATTTCTTCTGCCAGGTTAATTAGTCCACCGCCCTTAATCTCAGTCCCAGGCAAAATCTCTGGACATGAGCAAAATGCAGACAAACTTTTTGCCAAACCATAACATCAATCATCTGGAGCCCAAGAGCCAGTGCAGTCTTTCTTCCCAGCAGAAACCTCCTGAGCCTGGTCTTTATCAGCAGGATTTTTATCAGCCTCTGAGCTCTGACTAGAATCTCCCACAAAGAACAGCCTACGGAGCTCCAGCGCTACTCTTTTAGGTGACATCTCTGAACCTTTTCGAACTCTTCTCACAAGCCATTCTCAGAGGCTCTTGAACCACATGGTCAGGTGTAGTCACAGCATCAACCCCACTCCTGGTACCAAATTCTGTCTTGAGGATGTTAGTTTTTTTTATTGCTGAGACAAAATACTTGACACCCAAAATTAAGGAAGGAAAGGTTTATTTAGCTCACAGTTTGTGGAGGTTTCAGTCCATAATCTCAAAGGACGGGCGGCATGGGACAGAGGTAACACTTCAAGGCGGCAGAAACCAGCAGGCACAGCAAGAACAAGAAGAGAGCAGGGGAAAAATCCTCTTTTCCTCCCTTACATTGTAAGCAGGTTACCACCCCCCAGGGTGGGTGTAGCACTCACACCATCCTTGTGCCCTCCTCTTGCACAGGATGAGGACGTTTACAAAGTGAGGACCCTGGCCCCCTGCTGAGTCCCTGAGTTAACCTTCTAAACTTCTCAAGCTGACACAATGTATCAACCATTACAGGGTGTGGCCAGGTTTAGGGACCAGACCAAAAAGTTCTGCACCTACCACTGGGGGTGGTCTGTGCCCTGCCATGTGGCTCCCAGCAGGGTGGCTGCCCCATTCTTAGGGGAAGGTGACAAACAGGAAGCCTTGGGAAGCCGGGGGACAGAATGGGACGGATCAGAACAGGGTCTCACTATATAGTCCAGTCTGGTCTTTTTTTTTTGTCCTTTTGAGACAGGGTCTGGCTATGCAGTTCAGGCTGGCCTTAAACTCACTTTGTAGCCCAGGCTGGTCTCGAACTGGCAGTGGTCCTCCTGCCTCAGCCTCCCAAGTGTTGCGATTGCAGGCTGGGCCGCCACACCTGGCCCCTGGTAGGTTTTGAACTTGAGATCTTTCTGTCTCAGTCTCCCTGAGAGTGCTGAGATTACAGACCTGACCCACCCTGCCAGCTTTGGGGAAAGAGGCCTCTTTCACCTTCTCAGAGCCAAAGACCCGGCTGAATCTGTCCAAAGGTGGGAACTTCTGCTCCTAGGTGACAGATAAGGACACTGAGGCACACCGGCTGGCCTAGCAGGAGGCAGGCTGCACTCCTAGACAGAGGCCAGAGCCAGAGCCTAGCTTCTCACCTGCGGCGGCGGCGGAGGAGCCCGGGTCTCCTCCGCTCCCCGGGGCCCCGCGTCGCCCCCGGTGTCACCGACCCCCCTCCCCGCGCGCCCCGGGACCGGAGGACCTGACCTGGGCTGGGAGCTCGGGGCGCGGGTCGGGTCGCAGCTGTTGCTCCGGAGCAGGTGGCGCGGTGCCCACGGGCGGGGCCGCGGCTCCCGCTTCTGCTGCGGGGCGGCTCCCGCTCGGGCTCCGCTCGGCGCCGAGTCCCCGCGGCTCCCTCGGTCTGTCGGGGAGAAGCGGCAGCCTGCCTCCCTCCCTCCCGCGCTGCCGCCTGCACCCGGGTAACCATGGAGACCGGGCACACCCAGCCAGGGCCGCCTCCTTAAAGGGACAGGCCGCCAACGAGGGCTCCCCTCCCCTAGGGACCTGGAGGGGGTGGGAGCGGTCGGGGCGGTCGCTGCCCCCTCGCCGGCCTCGCGCACCGCCCCGGGCCACCGCCCGCCCCTGAGACGCCCGCGGCGCCCTTCTGCTCCCGCGGACTCAGCCGCAGCCGCAGCCGCAGCCGCAGCCGCGGGGCGAGACGCCTTCTCCGCAGCTTGGGGCTCTCGGAGAGCCGCCTGGCAGCCTCTCCTCCCGCGGAGAGAGAGTAGGAGGGCTCCAGGCAGGGGTGCCTGTAGAAGATGCAACCCTCCCCCCGGAAAAGAATGCCCTGCGAAAGGGGACTGGCGAGCCCCGAGGGTCCCATTGTCAGGGACGCTGTGAAGGAGGGGCGAGCGTCTTCCGAGCACAGCCTCGGGCAGTTCAGCCTTTCACGCCTCAGTTTGAGCCCCAGGAAAATGGGTGGAGCGGCTGTCACTAGGAGACGCGGCTGCCAGCAGGAGCTGTGAGGGCACTGGAGGGTGGGCAGCCGCTCTCCTTGTGACCCCGCAGTGAGAGGGCGCGCGGGGGCGCCCCGGGGCCCTCGTGCGGTCCCCGGTTTCTGTCGTCTCGGTCCCCTGCGCGCTCCCAGCCGCGCTGGAGGGTGGGGACGCTGGGGTCAGACGCGGGAGGAACTTCCTAAGCTAGCGCGGGCGGTGAGGGGGACGGGGCCGGCGCCCCACCCGCTTCAGCCCCGAGCGCTCGGCTGGGCGCCGCGGGAGCCGCCGCCTCCCCACCGGGTG